AAAAATTATAGATACGTTGGAGATGTATCATAGTGCGAAGTCCTCTTTTTGGGACTCACCGTGGCTTCATGGGCGCAAGCGAAAAGACATTGCCCTGCTCATTTACAAAGCGTCAAAGAGAAAAAATTGGAAGGTTCAGGAGGCCCTCTCACACAATGCATGGATCCTCAATATAAAACTGCCCACCATCATCAACGCGGAACACATCACGTAGTTCTTCACTCTATGGGCGCTTTTGCATGAGATCCAACTCAATGATCTCACCGAGGATGACATTGTGTGGAAGCATACGGCTAGTGGGATCTACTTGGCGGCATCAGAATACAAGGCGTAATTCTTAGGGATGGTTCTTACACCCTTGGACAAAATGGTTTGGAGATCTTGGGCTCCCCCAAAAGTCAAGTTCTTTGCTTGGTTGGCGCTACAAGACAGAATTTGGACTGCCGATCGTTTGGCAAAACATGGGTGGCCCAACTGTGGTCTCTGCCTTCTCTGCATGAGAGTGCAGGAATGTGGGACTCATCTCTTCTACCAATGCCACTACACACGAAGCTTTGGTCTTTGATCATTGACAAATACCACATTCTCGGTCTTGACACCAACGGTTGGCCCCTGTTCGACTCGGTTGAGGCTTGGTGGGCAAGTACCTGCGACAACGCCACACCAAACCGCCAAGCAAAGGCGTCCCTCACCATGCTTGTTTCGTGGACTATCTGGAACGAGCGAAACGCAAGGATCTTCAAGCACAGGAGCGCTCCTCCAACAATATTGCTTGCCTCCATAGAGACCGAGGCCAAGCTTTGGGTCATCGTCGGTGCCAAAAAATTAGGGTCCATTACTTTGTGAGAGTGATCTCATGCCGTGTATTGAGTGACTTGTAACAAACTCTATTATCTCTTATTTAACGGACGAGGCAAAGCTTTTGCCTCTGTTTCAAAAAAAAAACGTGTCCCGTGTGGTGAACATGCATGAGCGCAAGGGAGAGGGAGACCCGTTTTGCAGAAACTGTGGCTGTAGCATCTCGTATCAGTGCATGAGTAGGGAATAGGAGTGTAGGAAATTCCTGCATACATACATAGGGTAGGTGTATGAATACGTATGCCTGTGAATGTGTTGCTGCTACACAGTAAACAAGTCTAGTTCATATTATGAAGGGGTGGTGAAAGATACCGTGCTGTGTAATCTAATGTCGTGTGTGTTGCTGGTCATTTCTTCGTGATAGTATCTAGTAATGTTGAGTATCGTGATTATTAGGAAAGCTAGAATAGCATAGGATATTATTTTCCCTTGCCTTGTACTTCAAGTTGATCATTGTACTCCTATATATATGCCCATGAGGCTCAAGCAATATAACGAACTATTCCACCAATCCCCCTCTCCCCCTTCTAAACGGTATCAGCCTTATCTCGATCCTAAACCCTATCCGATGCCGCTTCCGCACCCGCGTGCCATCCCCGGGGCGGTCGGCCTCCATGACCGCCGCCGGGGGGCAGCGCCGCCGGGGGGCAGCGCCGCCCATACCTAGGGTTCGTCCGCTGGTTGTGTTGACCGGCTGTCCTAGAGAGTCTTTTTCCCGAGCCATTGCTTCGCATTTTTCTCTCTCCTACCGGTCATCTTGATCAGAGGTTTCTTTTTGGTTTTTTGATTTACGATCGGTTTGCGTCGCCCGCCGCTGCCGTCGACATCCGTGTGCCTCTACTCCAACACCGACGCGACTACCGGTCTCTTCATCGACAAGGTGGCCTTCTGCGAAACAATGGCCTATCAGCCGTCGTCCGCGCATCCATCTGCCGATCATTCTGCACCGCTCGTTGTCGTCTTCATCCGATTGGGATCCTACACCAACCCGCCTCCATCCGGATGTGTTGCATCCGCTCCATGCAGACTTCATCATCATCGAGCAAAGCTACCTTGCCACAAGTGCCCACGGTGCATATCAAACCCAACCACCCGCATACGAGAGTATGCCATGCAGATTTGATTAGACTTTGTGTGCGCATGCATATTTGTTTGAGCTTCCTGGATGACTGTACTTCACGGGCATGTGCGGCTGCTGTGAAGTCTGCTCCAGCGGCTCTGTGCTATTTTACTACGGCTCAAACCGAAGCCACCGGCGCCGCGTGCCCCCCTGGTCGCCCGCGTGTTCCTCCGCGCGGACAATGGGCTGCTCGGGGCTGCGGCCATGTGTTGTCGTCTGCGCATCTTCGGCCTCGTGAGCTATTGGACTGATCACCCGACCACCCCGTGATTCGCCTCATCAATGTTGTGCGACTGATCTAACACGTCAGTTGTGCGCGCCTCCATAGGTCCCATGAAGATCATCCTCAAGTTCAGCATGTCCCTTTACCGATTGAGCAATGGGCCGCCGCTGCGTCGCCCTGTCGGGCCGCAGTGCCGCCGCCCTGTGGTTCTTCTTCCAGCTGCACCGACCCGAGTCACCGTTGTGTCGCCTCTTCAGGTCGTAGTGCCGCTGCCCGTGGTCCACCACCGCCCCGAGGTCGTCCGCTCCAGGTCGTCGCCGTGGCTACACCGACCCTCGCACCGCCGCTGCGTCACCGCGTCGGGCCGTAGCAAGCGTGGCATTGCGGTCAACGCCACCGTCCCGAGACCGTTCCCGCGGTTGCACCGACCCGGGTTCCACCACTTCGCCCTCCCCCTTTGGGCCATTAGCACCGCGGCCCGCGGTCGCCGCCCTGAGGTCTTCCCGCCGTCGTATCGACCTGTCCACCACGGCCGCGTCGCCCCTTTGGGCCGTAGCGCCGCGGCCCGCGGTCCACTCCGCCGTCACCGTGCATCGATCTCTTGTGGTATGTGCCGCGCCATCTCCCTCGGTGCGGGAATGCCACCGTCCGCGCCGGTCTTTGTTATGCTGTCGGTTTCCTCGCCTAGTTCGAGCATCTCCGCCGCGCTCCTAACCTAGCCGTTGCCGCTGCCGTGAGGCCTTCGCCGTCGCTCTTCTTCCGCCGCCGCCACCGCTACCCCCGTAGCCGATGCAGCCACCCGCCACATCCTTCATCTTCGTCCAGCACCAGCCCGTCGACAGCGTCGCTGTCTCTACCCCGACCACTTCGTCTACTCCGACAACTGTGGGCGATATCGGTCCCGCGCCGATTGGCGCCGCAACTGTTGTCGAGTCTTTCTCCGTTGGCCTCTCCGACTTCTCCGACATGGCGTACAGCTCGTGCATGTCCCAATCTACGCATGCCCGGTGCTGGCAACACCGATGCATGCCTTCGTCCATGATGTATCCCGGGCCTGGCAAGCCTGGTGCGACGCTTCGTCAACTTTGTCTTCATTCGTCTACGCATGCCCGGTGCTGGCAACACCGACGCGTGCCTTCGTCTACAATGTGTCCCCAGGCTTGGCAAACCCGGCGCAACGCGTCGTCAACAATGTCTTCTTCCAGACGCACCACTACTTCGACACTACTGCGCCCATGACTAACTTGGCGCCTCCTTGCGCCCGCGACTCCATGACGACTTCCTCGACACCGGCCACCCCTACTCGACATCGACCACAGCATTCTTCGCACGGCTACCTCAACTACGGCTACACCACCCTGCACTCTCGGCTACATCGACAAACGGCACGAAGGGCTACCGCCCTTGCTTGAGCAACCTCGTCGGTTTCCACTCCTGCCACATCTTCCGCGATGCATCGACCGTTACGACTGTGGGGGGTGTCCGTCATCTTACCTTCGGATTCTTCTTCAGTCTCACCGTCTGTGTCGCTACCGTTGTGACTGTGGGGGGATGTTGAGTATCGTGATTATTAAGAAAGCTAGGATAGCGTAGGATATTATTCTACCTTGAATTGTACTCCAAGTTAATCATTATGCTCCCATATATATGCCTACAAGGCTCAACCAATATAACAAACTATTCCACCAACCCCCCCCCCCCTCTCTCCCTTCTAACAAGTAAAATCCATTATTTTTTAAGCAGGTAAACAAGGGTCGGGTCAATTTGGTGATCACTCTTTTTAGTGGGAGTGCAGTTTCCTGGTTCATGATGTAGTAGAAAGGATGCAGAGCCTGAGGCAACACAATTTATTTATTTTTTTGCGAGAGGCAGCACAATTTGAGTGTGTGTGCTTACATAGATAAATTTGAGGTTTTCATTGGATTGCCTAGGAGGAGCTATCTGAAAGAGAATTTTCTGATCAGATTTCTTTTGATCTTGAGTGTTTTTCTTTTCTCTAGTCAAAATCTCTTTGCAAACCCTCGTTGGTTTTCCTCTGCAGCAAGCGGCAAAATTTCGTGTTTTGACCCTTTTGCGAAACCTGTTCGAGGTCTGACCCTGCTTTACAAAAATTTCAGGATCTAACTCTTTCCTACCGCCAAGGCCCCTGGCGGTAGGGTATAACAGCCTACCTCCAAGGCCCTTGGCGGTAGGAAACACCCCTACCACCAAACAGGTTGGCGGTAGCTTGTACAACCTTACCGTCAAGGTGCCCGGCGATAGGTGCGAGCATGCAGTGTGTTTCACTCTTATAAAAAATGCAACCCTACCGTCAGGGGCCTTGGAGGTAGGTTGTTATACCCAGCTGTCAGGGGCCTTGACGGTAAGAAAAGGGTCAAATCTTGAAATTTTTGTAAAATAGGGTCAGATCTTGAACAAGTTTCGAAAAGGGGTCAAAATACGAAATTTAGCCGCAGCAAGCCTCCCCTCTGATTTTTCACGCTGTCATTGCATTTCAAAGGGTCGTCAAAGATAAGGAGTATGATGACTTGATGAGACGCCCGGAATAGCAAAACTGCCACTGTGATCACTTATTTTCGCTGAGAGAGATGCATCATGCATAGCCAGTTTCAGACTCGCCGTACCGGAGGAAGCTACGCGGAAGGCTCCGGCCAAAGCAGCTCTACTTGCACAAGGCACGGCCTTGCCTTTGGCCTTTGGGAACAGTACGCGTCTGCTCAGTCGTCCTGCGCTGCTACAAGCACCACCATCGGCAGTTGCCAGCGCTCCCACCAGCGCGCGCGCGGACCGAGACCGGCAATGGCGAGCTCGGCGCCTCCTTTCCTCCTCCTCCACTTCGTCCTCGTCGCCGCCGCGGTGGCCTCGGAGGAGCGCCCGCGCGTCACCCCCACCTTCATCCAGTGCCACCCGGCGCAGGCAACCGCCAACGCCAGCAGCGCCAAGAACGCCACGGCGTTCCAAGCCAACGTGATGCCCCTCCTCGCCAAGCTCCCCTCCGCCGCCGCGCCCACGGGCTTCACGTCCCTGCGGTCCGCCGGAGTGGTCGGACGCGACTGCGCGTTCGTCCGCGGGCTCTGCTTCGACTACGCCACACCGTCCCAGTGCCGCGAGTGCCTGGCCGCCGCGGCCAGGGAGCTCGCCGAAGCCTGCGGCGCCCACGGCCGGCGCGCCGGCGTCTGGACGGACGGTTGTTTCGCGTCTTATGCTGACGCGAACGACTCATCGCCCTACTCGGACAGCTTCCGCGCGCGCATCATCTCCGGCGCCGACGCGCTCACCACCAGCACCTCCTCCGAGCTGCAGAGCCTCGCCGACCTGGCGTGGCGCATGGGGCCGGCCGCGGCCACCAGCGCCGGGATGCAGGTGGCCGTTGACTGGACCGCCGCGGCGAACAACTACAGGAAGAACAGCACGGTGCGCGTGCTGGCGCAGTGCGCGCGGGACCGCACGGCGGAGGAGTGCAGCTGGTGCGTCCAGTACTCGGCGCGGGTGGCGGAGACATGCGCCTGGTCCTGGTGCCCCTGGCACTCGGCGCGGGCGGGGGACACCTGCTGCTGGGGCCTCGACGCGTGGCGCGACGGCGTGGCGGGCGCCGTCGTCGGCTTCGACCGCTACCTGCGCTTCGACGTCGCCGTCGCCACCCCCACCGCCACTTCTACTGCGCCGGCGCGGGTGCCCCTGCTGCAAAGGCTCGGTGAGCAGAGCACGCTGCACGCTCTCGTCTTCTTCTTCTTCTTGGCTATGGTTTGAGCAACAACGTACCACTCGTTCACTCCAGTAGTCTAGTCCAGGACAAGAGTCAGGAAACCATCTCATTTCCATTGTACGTCGTCTGTAAACAATCATGCACTAAGTAGTAGTAGTAGTACTAGTACCGACTATTGATGCCGGAGTGGACGATCCAGAAACGATAACGAGAGAGAGCAGGTGGTTATGACCAAGATCGATCGGGTGCTAGTCTCTGTTGACTGGGAGCTCAGTTTCTCGGATGTGCTGCTCCAAGCTCTCTCCACCAACATCTCGGACCACGCGCCCCTCCATCTTTCCACTTCGGCCCCCTTCTGCCCGAAGCGAAGGTTTCGTTTTGAGCTATGCTGGACTCGATTGGATGGATTTGAGCAGGCCGTCAAAGATGCATGGGTGTGTGAAGGCGATATTGTTGACCCTTTTAAGAGGCTTGATCAGTTGCTCAGAAACACCGCTTCTGCCCTTTAAGCCTGGGGTCAAAAGAAGACTGGGAACATCAAAAGTTAGTTGGCTGTGGCGAACTATGTCATACATAGGCTGGACAGAGCTATGGAGGCCCGGGTTCTCAATTGGAGGGAGAGATGGTTGAGGAGATCCCTTAAGCATTCGGTCCTTGGGCTTGCCTCCCTTCAACGCACCATTGAAAGACAACGCTCCAGATTTAGATGGATCCGAGAAGGAGATGCTAATACTAAACTTTTCCAAGCAGTGGCTAACGGAAGGAGGTCCAAGAACTTCATCCCCCATATTAGACACAATGGGGAACTGATTTCCCAACAAGAGAGGAAGGAGGAGATCTTCACCGAAGCCTATGAGCATTTGTTGGGTCGTGCCGCTGCCAGGGAGGTAGATGTGGATACGGATTTCCTTGACATGGCAGGGCACGATCTTGTGGAGCTTGATGCGATCTTTACGGAGGAGGAGGTGGGGAAAACTGTAAGTGCATCTAGTGCCACCCCTAGTTGGTTTTGGAGTATTGACGACAAATTTGGTTGAGGGACTAATGCGTTTGTGAGAATTGTAGGATAATGCAGATAGTGTCCCTCATTGATTCGGTTTACCTACCGGAGATGACCCCTAAAAATGTATGAAGACATTGACGACAATGGTGGTATGTGAAGATATTCACATTGAAGACTATGACATGAGAAGACATTGAGTGAAGACTATGGAGCGCGAAGACTGTGTCGTTTCGTTGTTTCCTTTTCTTCTTTGTCGAGTCATAGGAACCACCGTACTGTTAAGTGGGGTCCAAGTGAACAAAGTCAGAATGACTGAAGTGATGCTCAACCCAAATCCTATGTCTTCGAGCGAAGACAATGAGAGCAAATCTTATCCAGAACTGGATGAGTCAGCTTTACTTGTAGCCCAAGTAAAGTTGTCGTGTGTGTTTGAAATCTGACCGTTGGAACACGTGTCAGTTCCTTAGTGACCCAGGGTCATTTCGGACATATCAGGTCGGGTTGCCTAGTGGCTATAAATAGCCCACCCCCTACACCATAAATTGGTGGCTGCTCAGAGTTAGTGCACGGCTTTTGTCGTTTGAGAGCAACCCAGCTCGAAGCCTTTGAGAGAGAGAAATCCTTGCGAGGACAACGCTCAAACACCCTGTAACACCCTCAGTGTCATGCTACAGTAATCCCCTGTTAATGGTGCCAGGTCACCATGCTTACTGAGCTAATTATCACTTGATGAAAAATCAAAGTCAAATTCAAATTCAAATTATGAGGGAAATTCAAAATTTCTCAAACATGAAAACAAAAATGTTCATCATGTGCCAAATATTCCACAACTAATATTGGTGGTGAACCAACATTTTTGCAAAGGGTTTAAGTGGCCTAAACTACTTAAAACAGTGACCTAAGCAGTAAATTAAATGCCCTTTTTAATTTATAAAATTGGCAACTATTCCAAAAGCCTCCCAACATTTTTGAGGCAGTGCACTTTAATTCTTTGAAATTGTTTTGGCCAGTGGCATAATTTTGTAAAGTCAATTGTGGCTAAAAGAAAATGCAAAAGCTGCTGGAAAAGAAAGGAAAAACAACAAAAAGAAAAAAGGAAAAGGAGAAGTAGAGGGGAGAGAGAGGCCCTCTGCCTCACTCAGGCTTCGGCCCACCCGAGCCAGCTGGCCCAACAGGCCAGCCCACACCCCCCTGGGCCGTCGCTCTCCCCTTCCCCCGTTCAACCGACCGAGGGCGCGCGCCCGCGCGTCGCCGCCGGACCACCTCGCCGTCGACGGGAGGGGATAAGGCCGCCCCGACGCCTCGGCCCCCTCGCCTCCCACTTGCCCACTTGCCCCCTTTCTCTCTCTCTTCTCTCGCCCATGCGCTCGCTCCACCCCTCCTCTCCTCCAGATCCACGGCCCGAGCGTAGTCGCCGCCGACCTCCGTCGTTGTCGCGGCCACCGGCGGCCCCGCGCCCGCTGACCTTGACGATGAGCTCTGTCGTCGTCCTCTCCATCGACCGGTGGCCTCAGCTGGAGTTGGGGAGCACCGAAGCGCCGGATCCCTTTCGTCCACGTCTCCGGTCGTCGCCGCCCTTCTTCGTCTCCGGCGCCGTCTCTGTTGCTACTAAGCCTCCGAGGGCCACCGTGCGTGCCGCAAGGTGAGCCCCTTCCCCCCCCCCTCTCTCTTTTGCTCCCGTACGCGCCCAGAACGGCTGGACCCGCCATGGCCGAGCCGAGCTCCGCCGACGAGCTCGTTGCCGTCGTTGTGACCGTCGACACGCTCGCCTGAGCTCACAGTTGTGCTCATGGGGTTCCTAGGAGCCCAACGTGCACGCGCACGCTCCCTCCCGTGCCTCCTAGCATCGTCCCCGATGAGCTCCGGAATGCATCGCCGCGGAGCTCGCCGCCAGCGAGGCTCCGGTGACCTTTTGGTCACGGGCTCAAGCCCGTTGGACTCGCCGCACCACGGGGATCCTCCCCAGCCTTTCCTTTCATTCGGTAGCACGCTGCTTCGCCTTCGCCATCACACGCCCGAAGCTCGTCGCCGCCTTTCTCGTCGCCGGCGATGCTCCGGTCGTCCCCGATGCCGGTCGTCATCACCATCGTGTGCGCGGCGCTGGGCCGCGCCCTTAGGTCCAAGTCGTAGGTCCGGAGGCCCCCTGTAGCGCGGCCCCGGCCAACTCCGGCGAGGCGCCGCCATTGCCTTGGTCGCCGGAGCCCTCCCCGGCGTAGCCGCCAACATGGATGCGTGGGCCCCATCACCTGAGTCACTGACGCTGGGCCCAGCGGGTCCCAGTTGACTGGGTTGACCTAGTCAACTGCTGATTGGGCAGCCCAGAGACGCTGACATACGGGCCCCACCGCGTAATTAGTTTAACCAACGTTTTATCAATTAAAACCTAATTAGTTGCATTTTAGAGACTGACATGTGGGGCCCAACTGCTAACTAACACATGTTCAATTAAAATACCCCCACTGTTAGCCCTCTCTCTGTGACATGTGGGACCCACTGGTCAGTTTGACCAGTCAGCGGGTCTGTTGACCTGCTGATGTCATGCTGACACTCTGCTGGCGTCATATTTCATTTTCTGTTAATTTAAATAATTCCAGAAAATGGTTTAATCTTTGAAAATTCATAGAAAATAAACCGTAACTCGGATGAAAATGTTTTCTACATGAAAGTTGCTCAGAAATAAGTGCGAAGCCACTGGCCACTGCACCTCCTGAAGACAGTGTGCAGTCTGAAGATCTATCACGTATCTCCAAGAAGACGGAGAAGAAAAAGAAAATCATCAAGAATACTGATTAGACATTGACTCCTGCTGCCATTCTGCGAGAAGAGCACATTGATCTGTCCAGCGATGAAGATCTTGCAAATGATGCTCTTGAGCAACTGATCAAGAGCAAGGAAGAAGCAGAGATCTTCAATGATTTGCCTATCTTTGATGTGGAAATCATCCATAACTTCATTGATGAGTGGTTTGACACCCTAAATCTCAGCTTTGATGATCTGCAACTTCCCATTGGCCTCAGCGTCTCCTTCAATGGCGCCATTGCTTCTAAGCTAGCTCTTGCTCAGTGCATCGTTGAACTGAAGTACACGATTGACCATGAGAAAGCTCAGTTCAAGAAGCATGTGGCAAAGTTCAGCGTGCAAGATATCAAAAACTTCAAGATCATGTTGCACGAGCTCAAAGAAGCCTTTCTCAAGAAGTGCGAAGAAGCTAAAGGCTCTCGTGAGCGCATGAAGAGTCTGGCTGACAAGTGTGTGCAAGCCTACAATGAGGCTGAGAAGCGCAAGGCTCTTGGTCGTCCTGGCATTGACCCCAGAATGGCTGCAACAAAGAAGAAGCCATCAACTGACCAATATGCACCTTCAAGGCAGGAAGAACCTCGCATAGTTTTCCCAAGCAGCATGACTGGCTCGAAGCCAAAGGTCAAGTCAACTGCTTCAGAACTGAAGAAGACAAGGATTGTCGAGGTTGAAGCCAGAAAAAGGAAAAATCCTGAAACCTCTGATGTTGCTCCCTCCAAGAAGAAGCACAAAACCAAGAAGAATCGGGCTGCTCCCACAGAGCCCTTAGTTGTTGAACCTATCTCAATGGTTCGCCCTGCATCTGAACACCAAGAACGACGGATGATAGTTCATGAACCTGCTTCCACAGAGGCTCATGAAGCTGAAGACATTCCAGCAGTTGATCCCACCGATGCTGAAGACATTGGTCACAATGACAATGTTGAAGATGATGTAGTTCTTCCTCAGATCGAACACAACTTGGTATCATCGCCTGTTCTCACGAACAGCGAACTCATCAGCATTGGTCGTCCTCTGACGCCAATTGCTCAGGATGCATCATGGGCTGATCACCCACAACAACAAGACTCCCCGAGTACTCCCCAACAACAACAAGTCACGCCACCTGTACAATAAGAAGAGGATGACTTTGAGGCCCAGCCAACTCCATCTCCAAAGGCGTCGCCAGCATTACACAGGCTTCGCAAAGGACCAAGGCCTCAAGTCCCTCTTTCGAGCGTACCAGAAGGAGAAGTGCACCAC